CGTGAGATCGAGTATTCACTATCACATGAGCTGGACACGATAATTTTTCAGAATGCAGGGACGAAAACTTCACGAGTGAAGATATTTCTGAAGCTTTATCTTTTATTGAACCTTATCACAAAGAGGTGATGCCCTAAGTTGTCAAATACAGGGCAATGACAGATCCATTTCATAAGTTTTTATTTGAAAATCATGTAGTAAATCACGTCGAACCTCTCGAAAGGTGGCTGTAATTTAAAAAAAATATATACAAACAATGGACTTCGTGGCACAGCTTCACACTGTTGTCGCTTCAAGTGCGGGAATTTAAAGACTTTTTTCAACATTTGCATTTATTCAATCCAACGTACGAAATAAACTAGGTGTCTAGAAAGCTGCAAAATTTATGACAGTTTTTAAATATCTTAATAGGAAAAAGTAAGTGTTCTTATCACTTGGTCTGTTTCATTATTAGATATTTTTTTATATAGAATAAGGGTGACAAACGAGCACACAGTCCACCTGACGGTAAGTGGATGCTGTGGCCCATAGACATGGATAGTTACATTTATCCTCGATTAAGAATCAAAACGCGATGTGTTGCCACCCCTGAGGACTAGGATGAAATGCCTCGTCTCCAATTAAAAAGGTTCTCCAGATCTTTATACTCGCCATACGAAACACACAGTATTAAGCTGTTATTTTACGCTGGTATTCTGTAAGAGCGTGTATCCTGCCCCGGTCGAGCTGACCCATTCGTGCTACAACCATAATATAGTTGCAGCGTGGCTCTACCACGTATAAAATTTATAAAACTAGTTTTTTATTCATTAAAATTATTACCATTTTTCTTTATAAGTTTAAATTTAATGTGTTTTAAAAATAGTTGTTATCTCGTGTGACACAAATGGTAATAACTTTATTATAATATATATAAGCCCTTTATTCCGATCTAATAGCATTTAACATTAAAACTTAAGATAAAAGAATCTACTAACTACAAAAAGTCTCTTAGTTTGGCGTGTCTATTGGCAAAGGCCTCCTCCAACGGTTTGTTTGTCCATGATTAAATAAATTTCTTGTAATAAAATAATGTTTTAATTACAATTTCCAAATAAACTTTTATTTACTTTACATTTTTATTTATTCTTTATTTTACACCAAAAAACAATAACAAGTAGAGTTAAGCCTAAAGTATATGTAGAACTGGCAGTCTGATCATCCTGAAAGTGATTTCTTACAGATAACCTTTGCGTACAGAACTGATGCAAACAATAGTTATAATAGAGGGGGGCGTACAAAAAAAATTATGAAAATACATATATATAATATGATATAAGTAGTATATAAAATAAAATAAAGTACGGAACAGGAAAAGTAATTTATCTAATAGCGTTCTAAGTATAACGATTTAACAAGGCTTTTCAAAGAATGAAGAGATGTTGCGAGATACACGACGAATGGAGCGGAGTTGGAGTTCTACAAACGCACAGCAGTGACAGTAAAGGATTTCTTTAAAAAGGTGGAAGAGTACAAAGGAGTAGAGAGAGAAAGATTGACAGGCGCGATAGAACCGATTATAGCTAAGGGAAAAATACTGGAAACGATATTTTAAATAATGAGGAGTGGAAGGATTAAACAGTACGCCATACAAAGCGGAGAGAACTTGAATATTCCTGCGAAGGCGAATCGGGAGCCATTTGAGCAGTTTGCGGAATTCAGAGGTGTGATCATATTTGCGAAGCCCAAATATAAATCTAATACATGAATTTTGAATGCATTCGAGCTTGAGCTCGAGCTCCTCGGTAACGTCAAAATAGCAAATATCAGCATAGTCAAGGATAGGCAGAAGTAGAGACTGAGCGAGCGTAACTTTAGTTACTGTGGGAAGAAAATTAGTACGTAATATACGCAGCAAAAATTTTTCTACTAACCTTATTAACCTGTGAGGTCCAAAACATACAGGAGTCAAGATACAACCCCAAGTTTTTAACCTTGTTGCTGTACTGTAAGGGGGTTGAGTGCAGCCTAGTATAATGGGGGTAGGGAAAACCAATCCATTTATTCAATTGATCTGGAACTACCGATGACAATGGCCTGAGTTTTCTTAGGATTAATCGTTAAACCATAACATTTACTCCAGTTCGAAATACAAGTCAGATCAGCGTTAATAGTGTCGACTCCTTTAGTCAAACCTTCAACAGAGGACTGAATACAGATTTGCAGATCATCGGCACACAAATGGTAGGAAGAGAAGTTGTGACTTATAGAGTTGAAGAAAATTGAAAAGAGGAGAGGAGACTACATTTTTTTTTTATAGAATAGGCTGACAAACTAGCACACAGTCCACCTGATGGTAAGTGGTTGCTGCGGCCCGTAGACATCTACATCTATCTTCCATTACAAATCAAAATGCAGATGCGTTGTCACCCGTGAGGACTGAGATGGAATGCCTCATTTCCAGTAAAAAGGGTCTCCGGTTCTCTACACTCACCATACGAAATACAGCAGCATTAAGCTACTATTTCACGCTGGTATTCTGTGAGAGCGTGGTCCTTCCCCGGTCGAGCCGACCCATTCGTGCTACAACTATACTACTAATATAACTGCAGCATGGCTCTACCACGTAAAGAACGTACATGCCACCTTGTGGTACACCAGCCGGCGTAATAATCCAGGTGGAAAGAACATCTTGCACCTGAATGCAAGTCGGCGACCAAAGAAGTAACTTCGAAACCAGGCAATTACAGTTGGAGATATGTTGAAAAAAATGAGTTGAAAGAGATCATCATCATCATCATTACAGCCCTTCACAAGTCCACTGCTGAACATAGGCCTCCCCCAAGTAATGCCGCCACAAAACACGGTCCTGAGCCACCTGCATCCATCGAATTCCTGCATGTCTTACCAGGTCGTCACTCCATCTAGTGGGGGGTCGCCCTACACTACGCCTACCGGTACGAGGCTGTCACTCGAGAACCTTTCTTCCCCATCGGTTATCGGTTCTTCGAGCTATATGGCCGGCCCATTGCCACTTCAGCTTACTAATCCGTTGGGCTATGTCGGTCACTCTGGTTTTACTGCGGATATCCTCATTTCTGAGTCTATCACGCAGAGAAACTCCGAGCATAGCCCTCTCCATAGCTCGCTGAGCGACCTTGAGCGTCCTCATACGGCCAGCAGTGAAGGACCACGTCTCTGATCCGTAAGTCATCGCTGGTAACACGCACTGGTTGTACATTTTAGTTTTCAGAGATTGAGGTATACCTGACGAGAAGATATGTCGTAATTTCCCGAACGCTGCCCAGCCGAGTTGAATCCGTCGATTGACCTCTCGGTCGAAGTTGGACTTACCTAGTCGGACTATTTGTCCCAGGTAAACGTACTCGTCAACAACTTCGAGCATAGTGTTCCCAACAACTACCGGCATAGGTGTGACATGGACATTAAACATGTTTGTTTTGTCCATGTTCATCTTAAGACCTATCCGTTGGGAGACACCATTGAGGTCATTGAGCATAGTGCTAAGGTCCTGCAGCGATTCTGCTATAAGGACTATATCGTCCGTAAATCAAAGGTAAGTGATGTACTCGCCATTGATGTTAATACCGTATCCTTTCCAGTCCAGTAACTTGAAAACGTCTTCCAACGCAGCGGTGAAGAGTTTCGAGGATATAACGTCACCCTGTCTTATACCTCTCTGCAGTTGGATAGGTTTCGAACTCTGGTTCTGTACTCGGATAGCCATCGTAGCCCTACTGTACAAACACTTCAGCACTTCGATATACCGACAGTCAACTTGGCACCGCTGAAGGGACTGTAGCACCGCCCAAATTTCGACGGAATCAAAGGCTTTCTCATAGTCCACATACGTCAGGCAAAGTGGCAGATTATACTCTTCGGTCTTCTGTACAATCTGCCGCAGGGTATGTATGTGGTCTATGGTACTGAAGCCTTTTCGGAAACCGGCTTGTTCGGTAGGCTGGAAGTCGTCGAGTCTGCGTGCGAGACGATTCGTAATGACTCTCGAAAACAGCACGTAGATGCGGCTCAGAAGGGAAATCGGTCTGTAGTTCTTCAAGAGAGCGGGTTCGCTTTTCTTAAAGAACAAGACCACCGCACTTCTGCTCCACGCCTCCGGAGTAGTGCCACCATGGAGGACGGAATTGAAGAGCTTCTGAAGGACTTCAAGTACCGGTGTTCCACCCGGTTTCAGAAGCTCCGCTGTAATTCCATCCTCGCCTGGGGCCCTGCCGTTTTTAAGGTGCTTGAAAGAGATAGTGCTGACGAAATGCGCCAATGGATATTTTTGACGTTGTTGATTTTGTGGCGTTGATATTCTTGACAAACCACGTGTGAACTGTGTCGAAGACCATGTCCCGCCTGCATGAGGAGACGCAACGCCGAGCCTAAATCTGCCTCGAAATGATTGGGGTACAATTTGGGCCGCATCTCATAAGGCCACGGAGAATTTAGATCGACAAGCTGTTTAATACCTATTTTTTGTAAATAATTTAGTTTTGAACTGATGTGAAAATGTACGTAACTGAATTTATATATATACATAATAAACAGTGGTGTATAGTGTAGGTAACACGATGGATAAAAAAGCGTGACTATCCTTATTAAAATTTCATTTAAGTAAATTTTTCGTTAGTGGGGAACCGAACCAGGTATTTGATTTATTTAACCTGTGAATTCGAATTAAAGCGGCTAGGTGGAGACTAGCACAGTGGCAAAACAGTAGATTAAGTGGATAAGTTAGGCGTTTAGACAAGTGTTGTAAATTATTACTACACCACGACAAGTTTTCAGTAAATTAACACAAACTTGATTTTTATGATTGAGATAAACACTTATATTAGTTTCACTATTTATTTATTTTAAATTAATATTTAACTAATTATAAAAATCGACCAGTTTCGCCAGAGTTCAGGGTACCGTGATGATGTCGTGAGGTGAATGAAGCTAGAGTTTGAGCGCGTGACAATAATTATAAGTATAAAGTATAGAATACCAACTTGTTGGTCGGTGGCGTGCTGCAGCAGCGCGTGCAGAGCGCGACGCGTGCGCAGGGCGGGAGCGCGCGGGCTGGCGGCGGGCGCGCTGGCGGCACGCAGGCTCGCGCCGCACAGCCACGCGCCGCAGCACACCACCCCCCCGCCCGCCCACACACTCTGCTCGCTCTGCAGCGCCGCTTCTATACCTGATAGCACCTACCAAAACATTTTTTTTTTATATAAAATAATCGTGACAAACAAGCAAATAGTCCGCCTGATGGTAAGTGGATGCTGTGGCCCACAGACATTTACATTTATACTATTGACTCATATATTACTAGCGTAAGGATCGAGCCCACCACGCAACTAAATAGGACCAGTGCGCTGGTCCTAAAATGACAGTTTAGGGCGACTCGGTCGACAGTGGTGCGCACGCAGGACAGATTTGCCTGTCATAAATATGCCTAGTTGCGTTTTAAAAGGATGCAAAAATTACGACACAAAGATTAAAAATGAACATGGGATATCGTAGCATCGGTAAATAACCGTATATTAATTTTTGTTATTATATTATATTAGTTTTATTATACAGTTAGTCAGTTTAGTTACGCTACCAAGATTTGGCCAGGGTTGGATTTAGACCCTCAAAAATATTCGAAATTAAAAATTATATCACGTTTCACGTATCATGTTTCTTTTTTCCCATGTGCCGAGATTTTTGGCGTCACACGTCTAATTTATCTATTATTACGATACTACATACTACACACTATGAAATAACGGTAAAAATAGGATAATTATACTACGCAATCCGAGCCTGGTTACGTCGCGTTTGTATTATGACAGATGCGCTACTTTTTCTGGTATGAAGAAGTTACGAATAAAATATTTAGATGGGCGTATCCTCCCTTTTGAAATCTTTGATTTATCCTCAATTATGAATCGACACGTTATCACCCCTGTGTACTAAAATGGAATGCCTCTATTTCAATAACAAAGGTCTCCAATTCTCTGCACTCACCATATAAAACATAACAGTGCTATTAATGAAGTAACAAATTTACATTTCACTTATAAGAAGAGCCATGGATTGTAGTAACCAGCCAACTTCCCACAATAAAGGCTACAGATTCGTCATCACTTCTGAAAACTAAGGTCGCTTACCTAACAGCCTGTAATTATACTGGCTGTTTACGAGGGCTGCACTAAAAGTATCGGGAATGGAATATTTCCACTGTTCCTGTCATATTAAAATCTTTTTAATTGAAAACTCCTTGGTTTTAAAAATCGAATACCATTTATTTATTTAAAAAAACATTCTCGGTCTTGTCACAAGGTTTTGTCAAACTTGTTTAGTCGTTGAGAAAATGGAATTCTTTTTTTTTTTTTGGTGTTTGTTTTTTTTTTTGACTCGAGAAAATTCAAGAGCGATGATTTATTATGACTTTCGAAGTGGTTTAACACAAAAACAGTGTGTTGACCGGATGATTGCTGCATTTGGTGATGAAGCCCCATCCAAAACCACAATTTATCGCTGGTTTGCTGAATTTCAACGTGGACGTGTCAAGCTCAGTGATGATCCCCGTCAAGGTCGTCCAAAAACTGCAGTCGCCCAAGAAAACGTTGATGCTGTGCGTAAGCTGATTGAGGAAGATCGACATGTGACATACCGCGAAATGCCTGAATTTTACACATTAAACATAATAATAACTTTAGACATTGGCGTGAGTCAAATACAAATAATCTTGCATGAACAATTAGGTGTAAAAAAGTTGTTTTCCCGATGGATACCGCATTCGCTCTGTGAAGAGCAAAAAGCGGCTCGCGTTACTTGGTGCGTCAGAACTCTCGAAAGATTCCACGCAGGATCCTCAAATGCTGTATACAACATCGTATCAGGTGACGAATCCTGGATATCGGCGTATGAACCCGGAACGAAAAACCAGTCACGAGTTTGGGTGTTCGAAAATGAGTTAAAGCCAACAAAAATTGTTCGTTCACGGAGTGTTGCAAAAAAAAATGGTGGCCACGTTTGTCTCCAAAACCGGCACATGTTACGACTACTCCTCTTGAGGGAGACGGTTAATGAGAAGTATCTAGATTTGTTTGCCACAGGTCGTTTCTGAACTCCGTAAAGAGAACTGCAACTGCCGCATCATCTTCCATCACGACAATGCGAGTTCTCACACCGCACACAGAACAAAAGAGTTTTTAGAGCAAGAAAATATAGAATTATTATACCATCCGCCGTACAGTCCCTACCTAAGCCCTAATGATTTCTATACTTTCCCTAAAATAAAGAATAAATTGCGTGGACAGAGATTTTCATCACCTGAAACTGTGGACTCCTACAAAACGGCCATTTTGGAGACTCCAACTTCCGAATGGAATGGTTGCTTCAATGATTGGTTCCATCGTATGGAAAAATGTGTCAAATTTCGCGGAGAATACTTCGAAAAGCAATAAATACATTTTTAAATAGTAATGTGTACATTTCCTTGTTTCCCGAAATTTTCAGTGCCGCCCTCGTATACCCTTCAGATTGAAACTAAATTAAGTCTTGAGCAAACAATTTGTCCTATCACCTGTTTTGAGAACGATTACATATTTATAGGGTTAACCTTAACTGTCACACTTGCAGACAGATTCACAACAGTAATACCAGACATCCTTAGACGCTGTGCCCATCACTGGTCTGCCTACTTACCTTTTCAAGGCAATAAGATTTTTCTGACATTTTTAATAGTTAACTGTAGAAGCATAGTTCACTATAACTGCTATTGCAACATCTTAACACATTCATCACCCCTACGATTTTCATGATGTCTTCTCGGATTCCGCCTACATTTTACGGTTGACTCGCCAGGCGAGTCGCCGGCACTGCAATATAAATTGATCGACTCGCCACGCGAGTTCACTGGCACTACGTAAGGGTAAATTCTATGTTTTGTAATTTTCTTGTGGCCGTCACAGTGTACTTAACGTTTTTACGCAATTAAAAAGTGTTTCCGGACTATTCGGCTTGTAAAAATGGCAAAAATCTCTTTGGATAAAATAAAAGGTAAGTTTGTTTCGTAATTTGAGCAGTGGTTGTCAACCTTTTAAATTGTGGTTATTGTTAAGGTTATATTTTGAATTTCTAATACTTGTGAATAGACAATTTTACCCTGAAATAATTTAATACGGGCTTTCAGTTTTAAGAATATGGTATCAGATTAAAATGTATTATTTTGGGTCGGCTTTAGTAATCTGCTGCACGATTTAAGTAACTATTTTAGCTTTAGTTGACAGGCAATGATGCTATTGATTACCATTTAGCTGCTTTTTATGCCGGAAATCTTTATTTTTCGAGATATCGATAGTTAAAGTGAGGTTATATCGAGTTGGCTAGACATCCGGTACTTGATTTTGATTAATTAAATTACATATAACGAAACGCAAATATTATGTCAGTTTGTTTTTTTAACACAGATACACTCATAAAAAAGTTAATCACTCAGACCCAAACAATCCATTTGTGGCTGGAGATGGGACTTATATACAACAAACTGAGTTACAGTGGAGAGCAGTCAAGAAGTTTATCAGAAAACAAAATTATAACAATTCACATTACATTATTTCATTCACCACTCTAGTAGTAGAGCTAGTAGAGAGAGTAACTAGACTTTATAGATAAAATAGGTCCGGTAATCGTAAGTAAAGGTATAGTCGAAACAGCACTCAAACAAGTCCAGTAATCGCAAGCCAAGGTAATCAAAACACGGGAGTCCAGTAAACGTAAGCCAGGTCACAAAGGTAGAGAACAGATAAACGCATGCGATGACGAAAGGGTCGTACAGAGCACTGATATTGAAAACAAAGTTTACAGAAATTTACTAGATTAGGCAACGACGTCACAAATAGGAATACAATGGACGAAATATTTAGTTGCAAGTGCATTCTTGGAGTGCGATTTAACATTAGCCAATGAGAGCTTTGTAAAAAACAATGTTATCAGTGCTTTTGTTCTTCAAATACAACGGCGCGCCGGTGTTTTTTGTCGGCTGTTTTATCAATGCCGACCTTTTTTTTTATTTATTTTCAATCCTATTACAAAGATACAAGATTTATAATATGGCTTCTTGATATGTTATCTCAAATATTACGATAACTTTGTATTTCTAAAGCTTGTTTTTTAAAAAAAATAATGTCTTGATAGTTCTTCCTAGGACAGAGGCTTTATTCCAAACTGGTGGTATATCAATACGTAATCAAACAAGAGTGACTTTCGATAAGTAACACATAAACACACACGCCTGTCACCCAGAGAGGTAGGCAGAGACTATGGACTTCCATTTGGCACGACCCTAATTATTCTAATGAAACTAGTTTGTTGTATATTAGTTCCATATCACAAGTATGTAGGTAGTCCATGCTACTATGTTCACGTTGTTCTCTAACATGTCAAAGGTTGAGGATCTATGTCAGGGAACTCGCCTAGCGAGTTCAAGGCATTGCAGAATAGTTTGTTTCCTTTCAAATTTAAAAGGGGTCTCCACACCCGGCCCACCACGTAAATCTTTAGTTTAGCATATATTTAGTCTAAACTATAATTTTAAGCAGAAAATACGGATGCATTTTGGAAATATTAGTGAAAAACACTGAACTCGCCAGACGAGTCGTCGGCACTGGAATAAGATTTACGTGAACTCTCCGTGCGAGTCGGTGGCACTGAATGTGTTAATCAGCACATAAACAGGATGTTTCTGGATATGTATTCAATGGACAGATACAAGATAAACTAAAATCATTTTTTTTTTGTAAAACATGCAATAACAAACTTTCAGACTAATGAAATAAAAAAAATGATAATGACCTACTTTTATGGGTGTAACTGTATTCATTTTGAAATCCCTATTTTAAGTATTTTATGAACAATGGTAATAAGAACGAAGGCATTCAACACCCTGAAAGTTAACTATGATTAACCCTGGCTACTCTCAACTTTAAAATAATAATTTAGACATAGAGTCTAAATTATTAGCCTCATTGTCGACTTACCTATCACTTAGTAATTTTGCTCTATATAATATGCCCAAGAATTTTTTATTTATTTATTACATATACATATAATACATAAACACTCACACCTATCACCCGGAGGAGTAGGCAGATACTACAGACTTCCATTTGGCACCATCCTGACACACCTCTCTCGCCTTCTCTAAATCCATTAC